GGACTAAAAATGAAAAACTAGAAAAAAAACACAAAAATAAAATACAACACACACCTAATCAATATAATAAATCCCTTCTCATTTCGGATGAACAACTTACGAACCTCCCGCGCAACGACAACAACTGATGGAAACAACAAGAAAGACAGATCAATGCCCCCAACACATATCTAGAAAATCTCAACTTCAGACTCTTGACTAAAGCTAGCTAGACCAGCATCGACAAACTGAAACCTCCTTCCAAAGGACCACCACAAGAAAATAGCTCTGGAGCCCAACAACCGTCACCTCCCCGAACACAACTCCGAAAGCCACAGCCCAAACAACTCCAAAAGCCACAACCCAACCTAAATAATTAAAATAATTTATTATTTATGTTACAAAAATGTAGTTAGTATTTTGATATTTTTATTTAATATTTTATGTTAGTTTTGGTTGAAAATATATTATAGATATATTTGTAAAAATATATACAAAACTACTATTTTTTTACATTTTTTATAAATTAAAAATAAAAATTTGATTGATTGGCTAAATTGACATTTAATCAAAAATTTTAAAATAGCAAGGGCCCTGGAAAATATCATCAAATACTAAACAAAAAAGAGAATCCCTAGAGGCCGCATGCACTTCTCGTCGAACTCGTCGATCGATTCTCAGGTGGTCTGGTCGTCCGCTTCCCCCATAGAGGACGTTTTTTTGCTCGCTGACGACGCATCCAAGTTAATTCCTCTGACCGATTTGCTAAAATTGTTGTGCGAGTGGCAGCGACAAAATTGAAAGTCAGCCATCAGTCACGCTTGATTTTTAGAGGAATTATCCCCTTTCTCTGTCGAATTCGCCGCCCACCTTCACGCTCGAGATTAGAGCTAGCGAAATTATCTCGCCGGGCGAAACTTGAATTCGAGATTTTTACTCTGGCGAGTTCGTGTGGTTCACATTTGCGGTGGGGACGACTTTTCCTGCAAATTCCCGAGGAATTCGATCTCATCCGATCTGATGGCGTTAGGGGAGTAGACGACCGTCCAATCCAAGGTGAATGAAAGCACTAACGACGGCGGGAGGCAGGGACCGACGACGAGTGGCGTGATTGTTTATTGCATTTTTTTGCTTATTTTTATGTGCTTTATGTGCGTAGTTGAGTCGATTCTAGGTACGATTTCTTAATTAACTGGTCCATTTTAATTGTTTCGTGTGTTTTCATGTTTTCCTTTTTGTTTTTTGTTTTGGCGTACTTTTTCGTTCCTTTTTGCTGTAATTTTCAGGTTTATTTAGAGGACAGAAGAAAAGAATCGAACCAATTCCCGAGACACAAGCATTTTCAAGTGATTCCGAGTATTCTGAGGCTTAGTCGATCGATAATGTGTCCCGTCCCCTTAGCCTGAGGACTCGCGACCACGCGGGAAGACCGGCGACCTCAGGAGTGTCGCGACACCACGCGGGCGAGCCTGTGACCTCGCGAGTGTCGCCCAGCCGCGCCTCACTTTGCCACTTCACGCCCGTGCCTGCGTCCCTCTTCGCAACCTGGCGAGTGCTCCTTCTGCGCGCGTCACGCCCCGCGACCGAGCCCGCGACCATGTCATGCCCGTGTTCTGCCACCAGTTTAGCCACCACGCGAGTGTTCTACTTAATGTGCATGTTTTTCGTGCGTGATTTGGCTAGTGGGTATAAATACAATTAATCCTTTGTAATTTGGGTATCTAGATTTCATTTTTCACTTTTCCCGCTTTGGGAAATATTCTCTAGTTCTTAATTTTTTCTCTATTTTTCTTTTGGAGCTCTATGAAATCATTTTCCGACAAGTTTTCCAGCATTTTCGTTTCATTCAAGTTCCGAGTTTTTGAATCTAAATTTCATCTAGCACGCAATAGAAGATTGAGTTTTTAATTCTAAGCCTCAATACTTCGTATTTGCCTCGTTTTTACTTATGATGATTATCAAAGTGATTTTAGGTGTTTGCTTAATGGAGGATGTAAAGTTTAGATGTTATTGTTTTAATTGCTTGCCTAAGTGATTGTAGGGATTAATTACTTACTTAAGACTTTATTTTAACTTAAACACTTAGGGTTAGAATGCTAGTATTAATACCTAAGTCTTAGGGTTTGCATATTTCTCTTTGTTGTTTGTGTTTTGGGTCGATGACATAGAGATTCCGGTAGTGTTAGTTTCTATATTCTCTCGTTGCTCTCGATTGCTCTATTTTTCTAGTCCTATTCAATTTAACATCATCTCAAGCTCATTGATTAGAATGTTTAGGTTTTATTTTCTCGTTTTGTGTTTTGGACAATTGGTTAGCGAACAAAGCTCTTGTAGCTTTCATTTGAGAACGACCCTAGTCGAGTAGCTCGGTTACCATCTATCAACAAATTACTACAAAACAATGATCTGACGGGTGTGTGCGTGAAGTGTGCACTCTGTGTGTGCGCGTATGTTTGTGTGTGAGAGAAAGAGGGTGAAGTGGAGTGGGCGGTTTAACTAGTGGGTAGGTTGTGTTGGTGTAGAGTGGGGCCCATCTCTTTGGGTGTGAAAAATTAGAGCATCTCCAGTGTATGAGCGTCAATGTTATAATGTTCATGCCACATGACAATAATTAATTGGATTGTGATTTTTTATAACATCACTGTTGACATCATATAATATTACAGTGTAAATGACTATTTCCAATACTTCGCTTTCCTTCTGTCATTTGTACGTGTACATTTATTTATTTTCTAGAAAACAAAAATTATAAAGCAAGTTATAAAATATTGATCAAATTTATTGGATAAAACATATTAAGACTCCACCTTTAAGATTTTAAATATTTAATTACGTTTATTTTTTTAATTAAAAAAGAAAAGATGCTTTCATCTTCCCAAAACTAAATAAATAATAGAAGTAGAAAAATTAAATTTTGTAATTAAAAAAAAAGTTTTCACCTTCCCAAAATTATATATTCATATATATAAGAATAAATTTTGAAAAGAAAAAAATAATTACGGTAAAAAAATGATTAAGTAAATACAACGTAGTTTAATTTTTATATTGCAATTACATCCAATGTTATTTTTATGTATATGTATCACGTAAATATAAAATGGTTTAAATTTAAAATATAAAAATTGTTTTATTTCTATTACGGCTGAGCATGAGACTCGGAGAATTCCGAACTGTTCCGAAAATCAAACTAAAATCACTCCGAACCGAAAATAACCATTGACCGTTTGACTTTCTCCGAACCGAACCGAACCGAACCGAAAAAATAATTGGTATGGTTCTGGAGATTTCACAAATATTCGTACCGAGAACCGAATCGAACCGTCCCATACCGTACCAAACCGAATAACCGAAATTAAAAACCGAATTATAACATTAGATGTGTTATTAATATATTTTATGTCACATTTGATCCTTTATAATATAGTAATAATAACTATTAACTTTCACTTAACTTTCATACTAAGTAATACTTGGTCTACAATTGAATTTTTTCTATTATAAAATAATATGAAAGATTAAAGAATAATTTTTTAGAAAAAATATTATATTTTGTTTGAATTTTAAATTTTCAATATTAGTTGCACAAATTTAGAGTTACTTCTAAAATTGATTTCAAAATAAAATTTTTAATATGCGGAAGTATTGATGAATGTTAGTTTTATTAAAGCATATAAAAATTGAATAACTAAAATTTAGAGTTACTTCTAAAATTGATTTCAAAATAAAATATTCAATATGATGAATTATTGATAAATGTTGTTTTTTTAAAGCATATAAAAATTAATATATAACTAGGTAGTCATTAAAAAAAATCTAAAAAAATAAGAAATCTCCGAAGATCCGAATCAAACCGTACCGAACCGTACCGTCCCAATAGTCCCGAATACCGAACCGAACCAAACCGAATTGACTTTTTGGTACAGTTTCGGAGATTGAATTTTGGAATATCCAAACTTTGGTACGGTTCCGGAGATTTATCAATCTTCAAACCATACCGACCCACGCTCACCCCTAATTGCTATGTATCAATTAAATACAAAATGGTTTGATTTTTAAAAAATAAAAATTGTGCTATTTTCATGTATCAAGTATATATACAAATACAAATTTTGACATGTTTACTTTAGAATACACTGTTTCCTTCCAAACAATCCGCTCCACAATAGTTATGCCACGTCACCAAAAATTGAATCATGATAAAGTCCATTAGAGATAAAAATATGAAGACATTGTCTTCAATGATAACACATACATTCATTTTTTCCCTTCAATAGTAGATGCTCTTAACACAATGCCTTCAACAAAGGTATAATTTTTGTTTGTTTAGCCGTTAGATCATCCAATCTAACAACTACAGTGTACTCTTATTTGTTTTACTGAGCATCATTATCACCGGATAGTAAAATAACCTAAGTTGATACTATAAAATAATACCATAAAAAAATCAGTATTTAAAAGAATATTTATGAATTAAATTAGTATTTTTTAATTTTAAATGTATTTAAGATATACTAATAATAATACCCCATAAATTCATCATAGATATGGGAAAACGAAAAGCACAGAAAATGAACACACAAATTAAAGTTATTCATTAATTATGTGCGTAATAAAGTCATAGAGACCAACAAGAGTTAGGCTCAAGTGGTAAGCAGTTTGATGTCGCTTAAGCAAGGTTTTGGGTTCGAATCCTTGTGAATGCATAAAACCTTTGTTGAGAGACTCATCCACCATTGTCAGGTGTGCCACCTGTGTCGACCAACGGATTAGTCAGGACAAAAACCAACGAAATAGTCGGGCAAAGTTCCGGATACCTTGACTGTCTACTAATGTTGACAAGATATTTTCTTCAAACTACACATAATAAATACAAATACATACATCGATCTTGATACGAAACCAACAGGCAACGACGCCAACCGATCTCAAACCAGTATATTTATCATCTCTCACATCGATCTTTCCTTAACCATCTGAACAAAGGAATTTGTCCTTCGTCGTCTCTCTTTTTTCATGAATCCATGGAGTTCTACGCGTACCCGTCTCACTCTTTCCCCCCTTCACCGTCTTCCTCAGCGCCAGATGAATCTTATTCCCCAATCGGGTCCGTGCTGAACAAGGTCAAGGATTTCGTCCGATTTGCGGTCTCGGCTGTGATTGGGAACATTTTCTCCGCAATTCTGACGTTTTTCTTTGCTTTCGGTGAGCGAATTGTACATCCCTCTCTGCGTCTCGCTTTTGAACTGTTGATTTGCTAGAAATTGTGGGTTTGTGATTTTTTGTTGATTTTGGGTTTCTCCACCGATTTTTGCGTGTCTTTTCGATGTGGGTTTCCGTAGTTCTGGTTCGGATTGGTCTCATTTTCAGCCTCGATGAGTTCTTGCTCGTGAAATCCTATGGTAGTTAATCTGTTTCCCTATTGGATCTTTTATGTTGTTCGAAAAAAAAAAATGGGTGTTTTGAAGAAGTGCCTAGGGTTTCCCTCTATTGTGGACGCATTTTATTCTTGCAGAATTTGGGCGCGTCTCTATATTTTCATATTTTGAATGGCTGATTATGGGCTGAGTATATTTTTCAGTTCAATTTTACTTGTTTTCTCTGGTATTATTATATTGACGTTTTTATTTTTGAAAGAATTTTCCTCTGCTTTGAGTAAGTTTATGTTATGAAATGCGTCTAGCAGTCTGAGTTAATGGCTCAATATATTTAAACTATAATGGGATTGATACTGCATGCAGTGGGCACTTTATTGGGAGCAGTCACTGGAGCCTTAATTGGCCAAGAGACGGAAAGTGGGTTTGTTAGGGGGGCTTCCGTAGGAGCCATCTCCGGGGCTGTTTTCTCGATTGAGGTCTTTGAGTCGTCTTTGCTTTTATGGCAGTCGGATGAATCTGGATTGGGGTGTCTCCTTTATCTGGTGAGCTATGCGCTTTATTCACTAAGATGATATTCACATATTTTCATTATAGCTTGACGAAAGGCTTAAACTTTAAATCTTTGTAGCATTGATATAGATGAAACATTGTAGATTTGGTTTTGTGTTCCTATTTAAGTTCAATTCATATACTTTCTGTTCTCCTTATTTCATAACTATTGCCATTGTTAGAAATTCCACATGAGCCATAGAACACTGTAAAATGATTGTATTATGTTGCCACTTTCTGAAACTTATACCTTTCTCTATATTTTCAATTACCAATTTTGCTCCCAACGCTCATATAGAATATGGTGGATTATGTCTTGGGTTCTTAAAGTGCAATTGTGTTGTGAAGACTTGTACGAACACGGCTAACTATTTTGGAAGGACGGATATATTTGAACTGAGTTATAACGAGTATATATATCCTGAAATGTACAGATTGATGTCATAGCAAGCCTTCTGAGTGGTAGACTTGTACGCGAACGTATTGGTCCAGCTATGCTTAGTGCCGTTCAAAGTCAGGTATGGATGAGGTTATGTTGTAGCCACAGATTTTTGTATTTGACATCAACTCGAATGGATTCTTTCTTTTTATTTACTCGAGATCCCTTTTTTGTTGCTCAGATGGGAGCTGTTGAGGTTCCATTTGAGGAGGTCCCTAATATCTTTGACACTGGTGGGGCAAAAGGATTGTTGGTAGATACATTGGAAAGGATCCCCAAATTTACCATCACTCGAGATGGAAGTTTGGATACTTCAGGAGATGAGGCGTCCTGTTCGGTTTGCCTTCAGGTATACCTATGCTTCATTTCCTTTCAAATGGCCATTTTGGTCATTCGTCTTTCTGAGGAAATACTTGCCCATTTTTCAAGGAAACAAGTTTTTTTACGCATTTTCAGATTATATTGTTAAGTTTTTTTATGCATTTTTTAGTTGGTATTTAGGAACTAATTTGGAAGAATATATGTGAGCCTCTTTTTTCACCCAATATGTAGGATTTCCAACTTGGAGAGACAGTTCGTCGTCTGCCACATTGTCACCATATGTTTCATCTACCGTGCATCGATACTTGGCTGGTGAGACACGGTTCTTGCCCATTGTGCAGAAGAGACCTGTGATTTGTTTTCTTTCTCTTATATTCAGTGATCCCCTTGTAGATTTTTTTTTGTTCTTTTTTTTTTTCGTCGTACTCACAAGTTGTATGTAAATTTTAAGTGGGTTTGATTGGCTGTTTGTGCATTCAGTTTGTGTAAAGCAAATTTTGACAAATGATAGTGTATCCTACTAGCTATTGCTGTCGTGTCGACTGCATTGTTCTATGTTCGGTCTCGGTTGCGTACTTGCCTTTACCCGGATTGTTGTCTTATTTACCGGAAAAGTCTCCCCTTTGCCCACAAAGGGTTTACTTCCGTTTGGCCCAATGTATACCTATAACCTATATTGATGTATGTGTGAGTGTATGTAATCCAACACTGATAATGTATACCTATATGGATGTATGTGTGAGTACATTGATAGACAAGGTTTATAGGGTGAAACTTGTGTTTATTGTACCCCTCATAACTTGTGCAGTAATAGAACACTTTTTTTTTCTTTTTTTTTTTTTAATATATTGCTAATTCTTTTGTTAGGTTGCTTTATTAATGGTTGCATAATTAATGCCTATACAATTCTAATCTTTGAATATATGTACATACTTTCACAGTTAAACATTACTAGTACAGAGCCTGTGGCGATGCACATGGTGCACAATTTTAAGGTCATTTATCCAGCCTTATAATTATATAAATGAATAAAGAAAAATATACAGAATATATATAGTACGTGACATGTGCGAGGCACGGGATATATTTATTTGGGGATTATTATACTATAAGATGCAATATTCAATAAAAGGTTTACAATACACAAAAATAAATATAAATAATGTCAATATCTAAATACATACACGATACGTGGAATAAATAAACTAAATTGCAAATTTGAAAATATAATTTAAAAAAAAATCGAAAATATATTTCACTAAACATGTACAAAAATATCTAAATACGTACATGAAAAAAAAAAATACATTTCAAATTTTGAAATTAAAACAAAAATTCAAATAATTTAGCTTACAGGTTTATCATGTAGAACCAACTCGAGATATGATTTGTATGTGCTGCCCCAGTCTTGGAAAAACATTCTCACAATTCGAACTTTGAGCATAGGTCTATTAGACCTCTTGACTTGTTTGATTAACCCAAATCCTTGATTCATTCTTTTGAATAAAAGACTGATTGGGGATATTTGTTCGCAGGAGGTTGATAGTGAGGAAGATGATGGCTCGATACTTTGAGATTTGTAATTTATAATGGGTAGAGTAGATATATATTGTTGTTTAATATTTTTATTAGAAAATCTGAATTTGAATATACAGAAATCGATTTGAACAAAATCAGAACTGATTTCTATACAATTAGATAATAAATAAAGCCTTTTTTATTTTAGTATAGATTTTACGTACTTTTTTTTACTTATAGGATGTTATGGTTTTTTTTTTTTTTTTGTTAAACCGATTTTATGGGATATGATACAAATACAATTAGAGAATTGAACAAAATCAGAATAAATTTCCATACAATTAGATAATAAGAAGGAATTAGATAAGGAAAAGAAGGAATTAAATAAGGAATTTTAAATCTGCAATTTTTTAGTATAGATAGACTTTACGTACAAATTTTGACTTCACCGATTTTATGGGATTTGTTTTGACAAAATCGATGTTAATAAAGAGTATAATGCATTTTTCGTCCTGTATGTTTACCCTCTAAATATTTTAGTCCTCTTCGAATTACGTTTTTGATTTTCGCCCCGTATGTTTGAAAAAAGGTTACAAAAGGTCTTTTTCATACATAAGGGATGAAATTGGAACACCTTATTACAAAACATAAAGGACCTTTTTATTGCGAAAAGGACCTTTCTGTAACCTTTTTTCAAACATACGGGACGAAAATAAAAAACGCAATTCGAAAAGGACTAAAATGTTTAGAGGGGTAAACATACAGGATGAAAAATGTATTTTACTCAATAAAGCCTTTTTATTTTAGTAAAGATTTTACGTCCTTTTTTTTACTTATCAGATGTTATGAGATTTTATTTTCTTAAACTGATTTTATGGGATATAAGACAAATAAATAAAATAATTAAATAAAATTCTGGATAAAAATAACAATGTATTAATTACATTAACTTTGTAACCTACTAAATTTGGTAAATAGGATACCTTATTATATAAGTATAGATTTTGATTGTTTTTGCTCACCTGATTTAATGGGATTTTTTATATCAAGATAAGAAGGATTAAAAATTAGAAGTTCAGCATAAATTTATAAGAAGGATTTTTTTATGGGTTTACGTACAAAATTTTTTATGTTAAGATTTATAAGAAGAATTTTTTATGTCAGCATAAATTATAAATGAATTAATTACTACTTGATAAAATTAGAAGTTCACTAATTAGTTTGACTTTTCTATCTACTATATTTAGTAAATAGGATCCGCTTTAATATAAGTATAGATTTATAGTATGATATAAATAAAAGTATGTCATTTAATAGAATAAGTATGCATTTTTATAAGTATGACAGGTTACGAAGGTCCGTTCGCTAAAAAGGAAGACAATTCGAGGTTGAATCGGCAAAAACTCGACAACGGAGGGGTTTCCGGTGAAGAACTTCCGTTGCTTAAGTTAACACAATGAAGAAGAAGAAGATGAACAGTATGTAAGTGTATAGAGTGTGTAATGTATCAGTGGACATATCTCATTCCCTTATATAGGGAGATAATATTTTGTTGCCTAAGACTACCTGAGTGGGCTTTCCGGATTGCCCGTTCATACTATCTGAACTACCCAATTCTCCATTTTTGTTAGGCCACATGACCCTATCCACGTATGGATCTTATTCTTATAATATTGCTTCTTATTTTTTAGTTTTTCTTACTAGACGGTCTAATTGTGCGACCGACCACAATTACGTTGAGGTAGAGTATCAAAGATATCGGGCTCATATATTCTGCTCATCTGGTCGATCCTCGACCAGCTGTACCTTCAAGTCAAGTTTCAACCAGAGGATGCGAGGGCCTTAGTTCGACCTGTCGGTGCTCCCTTGATCAGGGACGTCTCCAACGACTTTAGAATTCTTCGACTGTAATGCCTTTTGTCTCTGTTCAATCTGTCGGTTCATCCAATTCGGTCATGATGTTTCTCAGGTCGATTCAACTCGGTACAATATCCCATATCACATTAAAAAAAAAGTAAAATAGGTCACATACAAAGAAATAAAAATGAGACTTAGGGGTGATTGTTTATGGATTCAAATAGTTTTTATTTGTTTGTTTTTTAACTCTAACTAATTTTGAAAAAAAAAAAGGTTGTACGGTTAGTTGTTAGTGGATATATTAAAATAATATTTTAAAGTTGATTTGATATAAAGTTGAAAAAAATTATTGGAAGTGATAGTTAGTTAAAATTATGTGAGTTGATGGATAGTGAATTAAAATTGATGTGATGTATAAGAATGATTGATTGAAATTTCTTTAATTATCTTGATAATATTGAGAATAACGGAATTGAGTTAAAGTTGGGTTAAATTTGAATTTGAATATTTTTTTTTGTTGAATTCATAAACAATCACCCCCTTATGACATGACTGGTATGCGTGAATGACGTGGGAATGGAACGATCATTCACCCATTCATATTCCCATGATTGGTATATTTTTTAGAAGAGAATGGTCATTCCAATAGGAAATGCAAAACCCACCTATATGGGATTAGCCATTCCATAACTAATGAATGATTTTCTCATTCCTATATGTTTAGGAATAATTTTTTCAAAAATAAAATTAAGAAAAAATAATAACAACAAAATATGTAATATATACTATATTATCATGATTAAATTTTATTAAATAAAATAAATTTCAAATAAAAAATAAAAAAATACTTTTATTTATTAGTCATGTTTCAATTAGATATTAAATACTTATATAAAAATAAAACTTACAAAAATGCATTTATAAATAGTTTAAAAAAATCTCATTTTATTTTATATGATCATATATATTACATATTTATTTATAAATTGAATTATATTATAAAGAAGTATATTTGACCACATATGCTTGTAGGGGTTAATGTAATATATGTGTATTAGTTAATATGTATACAAATAAATAAATCTCTTATTTATTATATAAGAAGAGTGTAACAACCAATCATGTCTCATTACATAGACCCATAAAGGAGATATAGTTACAAAATGTCAAGTTAAAAAAGAAAGGAGTAGCTTAAGAAATAAGATCATGCTTATCAATGTGACATAATGTTTACAAAAATTAATGGAGTTTGATATGCATCATTTATCAAACCTTGAGATTTTTTCTGCAATATTTAACTCAAAACAATCTGAACAAATTGTGAAATTTGTTGTCAAAAGAAATCCAAAAGTGTATAAATATCTATAAAGTGTGTTACAAAATATATATATATATATATATATATATATATATTAAAGGATTTGTTATCAAAATCCGAATTTGTTATCACAATCAAATCAAATCGTATGTAAATAAAAAATCTCGAGATTTTTTCTGCAATATTTAACTCTAAACAATCCGAAAAAATTGTGAAATATGTTACCAAAAGAAATCCCAAAGATTATCGGCAATATATTGTGTGTAAATAAAAATAAAGTGTGTTACAAAGAAAACTGTTGTTTTAAAGGGGTTGTTATCAAAATCTGAGATTTGCTATCACAATCCGAGATTTGTTATCACAATCAGATCAAGTTTGTTAACAAAATCTAAGATTTGTTATCAAAATAAGATCAAATTTATTACAAAAATTCAATTATATTGGTTGACATGTGGAGCTCATTGATATTGCTTATAATAGTAAGTCAATA